AAAAAAAAAAACTAGGCCGCCTAAAAACAAATGTTCCTTTTACAATTAAACTATTCTGCCCAGCAAACTTAATACAGCACAGAACCCAGTAAAGTGTCAGAGTCTTGGTCTGTTAGTTCCTGTTTTTCTTGGTTTTCCATTTGTTGTCCTCTGCTGCCCTCTTGTGTCCTCTTTCCCTTGCTCTGTTTTCTGTCCTGTCTGCACCTGTTTTCAATCCCCTCGTTATGTTGTGATATCTTAGATGAAAATACAATTGAATTCCTTACCGTTGTGTTTAAGCATCAATATTGCAAGAAAAAAGTAATTTTCCTAGGACACAAATCTACTGAGAGTTTCTTATAGTGTTTTAAAACTTGCCCTCCATGCAAAAAAGTGTTCTAGAACATAAACGCAACCTGCTGTGTTAACGAATGAGTCCACAGACCATAAAGAGATTAATAAGAGCTAAATAGCGGCAGAACCGTCTCCAGTTTTGCACATTTCTTGTCTGTTTGTTGGCCAAAGGGATAAAAGCTCATCAGCGCCCAGCCAATAGTTTAAATAAATGCTGGAGCCGCATTTCCAAACATGTATGTCACTGAAGTGTAAAGGCATTGTATTACCACCATCGACTAGGTAACTAGTGGTGTCCCGTTTCTTAGGGAGAAAGTCTTCCCTTGCACTTCCCTCCATGAATGAGCTTCACTGTGGAGGAACTGACTGGAGGTAAGAGGAACGGGACCGGGCCGTTTATTTAGATAACCTTTAGTCATACCGCAGCGTTTTATTATCCATTATAGTTCCAAGCAAAGAGCATGTTTTCTAAATAGATATTTGACAAAAAAAAACAAAATATGAAATAGTAAAAAAAAAGTTTTCAGACTAACTTCGCTTTTTTTCCCCAAACGTTTTTCTTTCAGATTTTATATTTTACTTTTTTTTTTCCAAATGTATCTTTTTTTAGATTGTGTATTTTATTTTTAACTACATTTTCTGTTGAATTGGAGCCCAGTAATAATGTTGCTAATACCTTTCAGATGGATAAAATGCATGTTTACTTCTCAGTCTAGAGGAAAGTGAACCTCAGAAGTCAAGCGGATATAATCTGTAAACGCAGCTTAAAAAATAACGCAATTTGTAAAACTATATCCAAAAATAAAATGTCAAGATATAAAAACTGTTATAAAAAAGAACTGTATAATTCCAAAAATTACTAATCTATTAAATAAAATCTAAGAAAGCGGCAAAGTTACCCTTTAATTTTTTTTGTTTTTGTTTTTCTAAACAACTTTTTAAAATTTACAAAACGTGATCTTTGCTTATAACAATAATGGAACCAAAGTTGCTCCATATCCAAGGTCCCACTGACACCTGCAGATGTTTATCTATTTATAGAAATGGCCCAAACACAGTCACATGGTGTTTCATCCACACGGCTTTAAGATTTCCAAAACATGTTTAAAAAAAAAAAAAAACTTTTTGTTTTATAGCTGTGTAAACAAATAAAATGAGATTTAAAATTCCACCTGAAATGTGTGACTCTGTGGGAGTAATG